CTACACAATATAGATAATTGACAGAAAATGTACAAACTTAAATATCTTAGAAACAGTAGCCAATCAGTTGTTTTAATTGTCATATTTGAATTCAGCACATCAAAATACATAATAAATAGCACATTTTATCTCTGAAGCAGACGACTTCTCAAAAATTGTAGACCAGTGTTATCAGTGACTCCAAGATCTCTTTCTTAAGTGGTAACAGGTTAATTTAGACCCCATCATTGTAAATGTATAGTTGGGATTATGTTTTCCAACGTGCAATATTTTGCATTTATCAACACGGAATTTCATCTGCCAGTCACCCAGTTTTGTGAGCCCATTTTGGTCTAATGTTACACTTAGTTATCAATTATTGCATGAAAGAAAGGTAGAGTAAGAGTTCAAATATATCCTTGTAAAATTGGTTATTTAATATAAACAGGATTAAAAGTACAAATGACAATGATTTTGGAGGTTGACCTCTGGCAATAATGATTGCCTTGTGATTTAGGCTCGGATACAAGCAAAATACTTAAGCATGTGCTTAACTTTAAGCACATAGTTAAGTGCTTTACTGACGTAGGGTCTTAGCATAACACTCTTGAGATCCTTGAGCAGAAGAGTGTAAATAAGTGCAAAGGGTTATATGTTACAAAAGTGATATTTATTGGCAAGCAGACTCAGTGTCTTGGTGAGCAGTGTCCACATTACAGAATTCTGCAGGATTGATAGATGTACAACAGAAATGACTGACTTTTTAATGGGAAAATTTGCCAATTTTTAACCCTCTCGAGAAATCAGTAAATCAAGATTCAGAATGATATTGCAGCAGTAGCTAACGTTACGCTAGTTCACGGCTCTGTTAGATTTAGAATGTTACAGTTCATCCACCGGAGCATTACATTCTGTTGTATGCCACAACAATTAGATTGTCCTCCTGATGCATAGTCCCAGGGCTTATTTTTACTACCCAACATGAAGAATGAAATCTGTACAAGAAAGACTTAATAACCCACTTACCTTTGTAAAGTTAGTGAGTTATCATGTCTATTGCCTGATAGGTTGTTTTGTTGCATATATTTATCACTTTAGGTGGTGAATTCTTCATATATCTTTAAAACAAATAGCTCTCATAAGCCTTCCATTAGCAGGTTTTCTCCCCACCATAGCTTATACTCTTCAAGTTGTTGTTGATATACCTTTTATAAATTTTCAGGAAAGAAGTGCTAAATAAATGACATTTCTCTGTCGTATCTGTTGGTTCACAAAGAAGACAGAACTAAGAAAGGGCCTGATCTTGCTTGGAAATTAACAAATTCAGGATCAACCCTTCAATGTATATATTCAGGTTTACTTTAGGTCGTGGACCTCTGTATTCATCATCATTTTTCAATTAATGGAATGATTTTTCTTTTCTTTTTCCCCCCACAGGATAATGAAATCATCTATTACAATGCAAAGGATGATCAGAATGATGTAAGTAATATGTTTTCTTCTTGTTTTACCTGCAAATTGTAGGATGCTTAAATTCTCAGAAAAGTGAAAGGGGTATTAAAGATTCTAAAGGTGTTAAGCGGACATTTTCAACTACTTCTGGGAAATATTTTGGATTTCTGGACATGCACACCAAGTTTGATAGACTGCTAGGTTGCATTTTGTGTTTGTTTATTAAGGTTACATTTTTCCTCATTAGGCCTTCTGAGTTATTAATGAGGGAGTGTGCTTGGGAAGATAACCCTCTCACCACAGCATTGCCTATGTATGGAATCAAACTGTAAAATCTGAATTACAATACTATAGAATTAAGAACAGAAAATTCAAGAACAGCAGGAAAAGACCATGAAAAAGCTTGTTCTTATGAGATCCCTAGCCCAGTTTTGCAGACTTAAGAGGTCAGATTCTCCTTTGCATCATTGCACCCTGTGTAGGCATTTACAGCAGTGGAAAGAGAGTGGAAAATGGATGAAAATGGATATACATTAAAAACAGTAGCAATTTGCACCTATTTTGCATTGATGCAAATGACTAAAAGGCAATGGAGAATCTGGCCCAAGAAGAGTAAATTATATGAGGTTTCCCACCATGACTTTAAATATTAAACATCTTTCTGCCTCTTGGGAGGAAGGGACATTATCTTCTCCTTCACTTGAGATAATACAGCTGCCTTTTTATTATAGATTTAATTTATAAAGGAATGGCAAAGGTATTGGAATATATTAATCAGATGGATCAACATGCTTCATTTGCACTCTGTAATCAAGTATTGCTAAAAGATTGATGGCATCACTATAGAACTTGATGCTGTTGCGGTAAGGTAAATAAATAAGATACATAGATCATGTCAAACAAAACTATTTGAGTTGCTTATGTCAGATATTGGTATTCAACTGGGATGCAGGTACAGAAAGTTTGTTCACAAGGAACCAAACCCACAGAATGAAATCTTCAAACTTGGTGCCTGAAGATAAATCTATACTTCAGCACCTAAGTAAAAGTGATGTGAGTTTGAAAGATGCTGAATACCTATCCTGTTGAATTCTATGCAATTTTCAGGTGTTCTGCATTTCTGAAAACAGGCCACTTCTCTAAAAGTGCCTAATTATGCAGTTAGGATTCTAAATGTGTGCATCCACGTTTGAGCGGTTTTGGCTTAAAATAGTATTGAGAGGTTCTTTGATGCATCTTTTTTTATAGCAATGGTCAAAATAGGTTAGGCACAGCTGCAATGCAAATACCACTCAGCAATTTATATCTTTCTCAGTTCAGAGCTCCTGTAGGTTTTCTCTCCTTTTTACATTTTTCCCAGAAAAGTCATTTTATTCTTCTAGGTTCCTTGCTCCTTCCAGCTTGTTTGCATTGCTTTAGACGCCTTTCCTTTCTAGAGCTCTACAGCCATTGACACCAGAAGACAATACTAAGAAACATGATTGTTGAGTTAATAGCAGTTGTCAGTCAGTTACGGAGAATTTGTCAATAAATAGAAAAAACCTTAACGTGACAGCAACAGCACAGCATGTAATTCCAAAAACCAGCACCAATAAAAGTTACTATTTTGAACACTATTCTATTTCTGAACAAATGAAACATTCGAAACCCTTGGGCTTCAGTCAGGTACTCCAGCATTTCCCAGAGGAATTTTTTTCAAAGCAAAAGTCCATAATATTTGAGCCTGGTTGGCTGGTCTCAGTCCTTGTAAATTTTGTGGTTTTCATTTACCTCATGTACCCTGAGAGAAATTCAGGCAGTTGGCAAAAGTGAAGAGCAGTAATTTAGGGCCAAATCAATTCTTAGGACTTTTGTTTAGTTTAAGATCAAGTTCCCTAGATGCAGTGGTTAATTAGATTAATTATATAATGGGTTGGAAAGGAGGAAATTAAACGGGGCAACACCGTCGAATGGTCCGTATGCTTTGCATTGATAATATTGTAATGTCCTGAGATGCTTTGGAGATGAATGCAATATAAATACTAGCTAGCTTGGTAAAACAGAGCATCTCATTCTGATTGAGTTGGGTATATTTACATAGTCATATGCTGACACAGTTCATTGCACTTCCTCCTTTCATAATAATTCATATTTCTAAAGGTAGAAGTGAGGGAAAGCAGGGATTTTTTTCATCTCTGGAATTTGTTTTCTCTTTTAGTTTTTTTTTCTTTTTCTTCAAATGTAAGAAAACAATGTGAATGAACAAAGAATTACACTTCAAGAAGCTGTTGGATTTTAAAGTCTCTGGTTGCTCTGAGAAACATGTGCTTTGTCTCTGCCAGATCAGTCTTTGTAACTGGCATGATCAGAAGCTGCTTGGCTGCCTTTGAAACTAGTGTTCTGACTCCACAGATGCCACTAATGACGTCCCCATGAATTCTGGTTAGGCCCTGACCATTTAGGACATCTTCACATTTCACTGCCACTGATGCCTATTCAGTGTATCTACTAAGTGCTGGACATGCTCATCCTGGATAAATTCCTGTAATGCCTTTCTTTCTTCAGCATTCATCAAAGGCGAAGCTTTCATGTTAGCACTAACCTTTATCACCTTTAAAGCAGCAGTGCACTCACTGGTTATAAACAAACAGTAGAAGACTTATTTCCATTAGCATATACAGTACGTGAAAAGAAAACATAGGCAGCAAACGTAATACAAAAAAGGCCAATGTATTCGAGAGTGACTAATGATTTTGTATGCCCGACTTGACACCTTTAAAAGGGCCTGATTTTTCAGAAAGTGCCGAGCACCCACTTCTGAATATCTGGCCCCTTTAAGGAGTCTCAAGTTGGGCACACACAATCACTAGTCACTTTTGAAAACCTTGGCCTAAATATGTATTTTTTTAAATGTAGTAAATTTAGATCTTCTCCCTTATCTAGGTACCTTGAATGAGTGCAGGGGTTAGGGACCAGAGATTTTCTGAGTTGTTAATACCAGCACTGGCTCTGACTGTGTGGCCTTGAGCTAGTTGCATAACCACTTTACCTTGGTTTCCCATCTGTAAAATGGGAATAAAATTTATCTCATGGGGTGCTATGGATGGATTAATCATTTTTTGCAGAGCGCTTTGAATGTGAAATTTTTTTATATGTATAATACTATTACAAATTCTCAAAAAACTACCTGAAAAGAGTGAATGATGAACATAAGATTAACCAGATTTCTGGTCAATCTTATGTTCATCGAGATATCTAGTTGAACAGATTTGCTGTTGTCTTCATCTGAAATATGTACACTCAAAAGAAGCTCAGGAGACCTTTCTTCAATTTCTGTCTCACTGATTTCTAGTTAAATTCTAATGTGCAAACTCACTGAGTTGAGGTCCTACTTCAGCTGACTCCTCTCCTCCAGACCTCTTACTTAGAATAGTATCCCCCTACCCATTCCCAGCCCAGCTCCATTTTTCCTACCTTTTCACATTTGTGGGTACCTGACATTTAGATGGGTGCACTGAGTTAGCCTTCCAGTAGTTTGGAATTAAACTGGAGTGCAAGACACTGCTCCTAGAGTGAAGACTGTGTATCTGCTGAAAGAAAGGAAAAAAATCTCATCAAGCACTGGCACTTTCTGATACTTAGATAAACTTTGTCTCAGAGCCAGCAGAAAGGAGTCACAATGAAGAAGTGCATCGTTACCACCTTGATTAACTAAATTCTTAGATCTATAGTGCATGTCCCTGCTTGGAGCCTGTCTGAAACTTGCTTACTCTGGTAACTCCTGTGGTCTTTAGTTCACTTGACTTACCTAATTCCTAGACCCATCTATTCTTGAAGCAAGGGGAAACTTGTTTACTCTGCTCTTCAATTCAACTGACTTACCCACTCCATTAGAGGATTTTGTTGATCTTGTACAACCAAACTGTCTTGAATGTTCTGATCAGCCTGCTCAGACCCTTCACTTATTTGGTTGACTGTTGGTTTTTCCAAAGAAATCATTTTGTATTTGTCTCCATAAATTATGTTAATTCAGGACAGTTTTTGTTCCACATACTGTGCTGCAAGATTCAATGTCGATACACCTTTTGCATGTTGTTTTCTTCTTTGTTCTCAACTAAATTATCACTGTTATACAGATACTCAAGTTTATATATCCTGACTTTTCAATCTCCGATAAATGAGTCTTAATACTATCACCTTTTCTTGTAAGCCCTTTTAACCTAATTTGGTTCTTGCCTCTACCTGCCTCTACCTGCCTCTCCCTGCCCAATATCACATTTGTGAAAGTTACTGAATTAGCAAGATTGAACAGTCATTCTCAATTGTTCAGCCACAGCTCAGATGACAGCAATGAAAGCGTTCGCAGAATGTTCCACCAATGTGTCTTTTACACTAAACTGGGACCACTAAGGTTGAAAGGGTTACTCAGTTTCTTTGTGAATGTAGTTTTTTGGCCTATCTGCTGATGTCAATGAGGATGTCAATTATTGGCAGATTGTGTCTGTGATGTGAACACATGTATACTAGAAACTGGAATAAGACCCAACTCACAGAGGCCACTTAATATCTATCAGTTGTTTGCTACTAACCTAGATCAGACTTTACCCAGTGACCTAGACATGAAAAGCTCTGTATTCTATCACATATTCCTGATTATTTTACTCCCACAGCATGTTTGCCTTTTCTGTTCTTTACTTGTTTGCTTGTGATCATCTTGTTCTATGCTAGTGGTGATTGAATATTGGTTCATCCTAACCTTTGCAAGCTCCTAGTCTGAAATGTATGCACCGTTGCAAAGTCCTTTAAATAGTGCAAGGTTATCTAGTCCAGGAGTATATTCAGTTTTAGTTCATATTAGATTCCATCTATACATACACACACCGGAATCCAAAAAAACCCAGAATCTTTACTTCATATGATGAATTGTTGTTTGTTTATATAATGTGTTATATATAGTGTGCATATACAGCATGCTAGATGCTTTACAGACAATCTGAAGTTAAGTCTAGTTGCAAGTGCTTTTCAGTGCAAATTACAGCCATTATTTAGGG